GGGAATTCTGGGAGTTGAAGTCCACTCATCTTAAAAGTGGCCAAGTTTGGACAACACTGCTGTAGAATCATATGCACAGGCTGTAATTAGCCTGCCCAGAGGAAACTTCCTCAGAGACATATTTCTACTACTGTCAGTGTACCAAAGTTAAGGTTTGGCATCAAAACTACTTTGTGTTCAATTTAAAGGAAAGACAAATAAACATAATGCTGAAATATAATAACATACCATGATCTCAGTACCATGGACAGCAAATTTCAAAACATATTTAAATGTTGCTTTTAACAACCCAGTTCAGGCAACATACAAAAATATGTCATTTCCTGGACACAGAATGGGATCCTATCCACTGGTTTGTCTCCTTCCTCATAAAACAATGATGGCAATTTACCATCCTTAAAAAATTCATTACGCACCTCCAAAAGTATAGGAGCCAACAATCCTGCAAATACCTTATTTAGGCCTTAAATATCTGGGCCAGGAGCTACTAGCCTAACTGTAGCCAAACTCCCCATACAATCTGAATAAGGCTGCAGACTGAAGAAAACAAGATATGCCCAATTTTAAAAATTAGAAATAGAGGAAGTGCCCAAACCATAAACAAATGGAGATTTGGTATAGTTGTGATTCCTTCAAAAGATTGACTAAAATATACTGCAAGAATTTTAAAAGAGTGCTGAAGGGTCTACTTGACATAAGTGGTTGATACACAATAGAATAACTAACCATCTATTTTAATGAAGTTTTACAAATTATTTACATTATGCTTTTCATTACAGTCACAACAAATTTATTAAAATGTGCCGTTTTACATTTTTGGCAGTATTCAGATTTACTTCAGATTTTGCCCGGCTATAAATTTTAACTTAGTAGTATGAAAGATATTAAGGAAGCTTTTAGACAGTGCTTGTTGAGTAAGCTCTTTCACACATTTCCACGCTATAAACATTTAATGAGATTGGCTCCCAATAGACTGTTTACCACTATCCATTTATTTCATGGCACTTTATTTTCAATGCAGAAACAACATGGACAAAGGTTATTTCAGGTTCTTACCTAATGCCATTTTTCCATAAATAAAGAAAAATGAAACCATTTAATTTTGAAAATACTTCTAAAGGATCAAATAGTCAATCAGTTTTGCTTTAACTATTCAGCCAGCTTCAGGTACGATTTACATTATAGGGGGGGAAATGACATAGAAAAGGCTATGAATAAAGGTGATTTAATAATATGGTCCAAGGAGGTAAACATGGGTGATCTTTCTACATATGAGAAGTTGTTATTCCTCAGTCTGCTGTAGCAGCCCATCAGGATGGCCTGTGCTGGTGGAACCAGGTTGCCCCATGTGAACACCATGAGAGTTTTCCCAATCTTCAGTATACATATGCATGCATACACACACACACACACTCACACACAAGTGATGAACCTGTAGACCTGCAACCTCTGTCATATCCAACAAGCCCATCCTATAATACAGAATGCTGGGAATTGTAGTCCAAGAAATAGAATGGTAGTCTAAGCAACATCTACACCACAGATTTCTCATTTTTGTGTTAATACATACCCTGAGTACCCATACTGAAAGAAGCCCAAAAATAAGATAAAATACATCTGAATATGTTTTCTTGGGAGCCTGATAAATCATTTTTATCTGGCTACTGGAGTTCTCCCAGAAGATCTGAGATTGGTGGAGAGGATGGACAGACTTTTCATGTACAAATGAATAGTGGAAGGAAGAGCAGAGAGGAAACTAATGTATTGGTAGTGGTTTCTGTGACACAAGAAAATGTGTGAACAACCTGAAAGAAGAAGAAGAAAGAAGGTCTTGAGCAAGGAAAATGTTAGAAGAAGTTAGCTGGTCATAGAATGTGGAGGGTGGAGTGATAGGTGGGTGGAGAAAGAAGAAAGAATAACATAGGAGGTTGCAGAGATGATGTCTGTGGACTACATGCATACAAAGTAGAGAAAGGCATCTGTGAGTGCCTGACTAAAGAAAGAAGATGGAGTCATGAAGGATATGGACTATGAATAGGAAGGAAAATGTATACTGAACTTGCACCTATAGACATTTATTAACAAAAGATATAGATATTTATTAACAAAATGAACAAATGTAAAATGTGTTCTCAACATTTGAATTAGTTTTGTTTTTTGGAGCAAATAAAGAAGCAAAGAAGATGACTTCTGAGCAATATGGCTAACATTTTTTGGAGGTTTTCAGTTTGTAACATAACTTGCAGGCCTTCTCCCCCTCCCTTCTTCTTCTATTTATTATTTATTTTTATTTTTGTTTTTTATTACTAAGCTAATTATGGAGGACATGGTGATTCCTTAATGGTGTTGTCTGCATGTATACTTTTTATTAGTTACATAGTAAGATAAAATATAAAAATAGAATTAAACATGAGCTTAAGAACAGCTCGATACTATTGTTTGATTTTCCCATTTTTAATTTTTAGGACTGTGATTTTGTTACTTTGTTAATTGTTTGTCATGGTTTGTTATGAGGCCCAACAGGAGCATCTGGCTGGGCTGAGTACAAATTCCAAAATTAACTGAATACATTCTATAGTAATTTATAATGTAAGCCATTGAGCTATACGTATGTTCTTTCAGTATCCATGCTCATGGTTCATCCCTAAATTGTAGAGGGCAAAGAAAATAGACCTTCACCCCAAAAGAAGGCATGTATGCTATTCATCAAAATTAATAACCTAGGGTGGAGGAGCTTCTTTTTTAAACTACCACTGGTCAGAAAGCTCAACAAACTGGGATTTCTGCTACTAACTAGCCCAAGTCTTTAAAATAAATTAAAATATATTACTGAAGTATAATGTGATTGTCCTACCTCAAGTTCATCAAGAGCACTTCCAAGAGAGACAGACTGTGGCATCAGTGGAACTTTTTGATGTCCAATTCCTTGGGAAGCATTGGAAATGACATCAAGAGCATTTTGTATTTCGTTACAAACGGAGTCCTTACTGGCAGTGAGAGATGCAACATCTGAGTGTTCCAAACAAGCAGAGCAAATTGAATGCAGAAGAGGTGAATTCTCCTTCAGAGAAGCACGAGCTGCTGCAATCTCATCTCGGTGACTGTTAGATTTTAAGTCCTATCAGGAAAAACAAGATCGTTATTTTTAATGTTATTAACATGCATTTTTCAAAAATTATTCAGGAAAAAATGCTCCAGAACAAGTATGACAACACTGCTCTTTTTCAAGCTTCTGCTCAAGAATGGAAGAAAACATGGCTGTTTCAAGAGGTTGACTTTTGCAAGTTTCTCAGGCCCTAAAAAAAGACATGCATGCTTTAATGACTCTTTCCATATAATTTTTGCAACATGCACAGCCATGATTATTTTTTCAAACATTTCAGAGCTGACAAGTACTTTTTAACAAATTATTTCAATCTGTTCAGCCTTTTTTCACGAATAAATTAATTAAGAAATATTCATTAGCTAATTAGTTCCCTTGTAGCACATACTGCTCCTAGTTTGTAACAAGCCTTGGATGAAAGGAAAAGAAATAAACTTGTGCAAAAGGAGTAGGAATAGATTTTATCTTTTGTTTTTCAAAATGTCCACTGAAATTGGCCATTACTCTTATAAACACATGAGAACACCTTCCTGGATCAGCTAGATCAAGGCTTTCTCTAGCCAGATTCACTAGGAATCTCATAAACAGATTATGATAGGGATAGTAAAAAATAGGGAATTAGCCATAGAAATACATGTAATAATCTGCCTCTTCTTTTCATAGGAATGAATCCCCATCCTTAAGTCACAGTTAAATTAATATTCTCCTTAACCACTGAACGCTCTAACCAATCTAAGAGCTGAAATTCCATTCTCAGGGTCAGGCAGAGCCAGTAAGGATTTAGTAAGCAACCCAAACATTAAAAAACGAGATTTCTGTTGCACATACATTTATACACAAATATTTTTATAGTCTTGCCCTTGCCAGATGAGATATGGATACGGTATTTGGGATTTTTCTCAGTTCTGAGGGTTTTTTTCACAGAAATACAGTTCAATTCTGATTAAACTTTTAAAGCACAAATGATGAGAAAGAAAAACCCAACAAAAAATTAAACATGTTCCTCAATAGCTGATATACAATATAGGAGGAACAATTAAGCTATGATACACAGTTACAGTCAAAGTCACCAATAATATGGCTTTGTGTGGACCTTAAATACAGTGGGGCACCAGAGACTGTTTTCAACAAATGCAGAAACTGGAATCACTAAAGCAGTGTTTCTCAACCTTGGCCATTTGAAGATGGGTGGACTTCAACTCCCAGAATTGTCGACTTGAAGATGGGTGGACTTCAA